CATATGTGGCACTGATAACTGCACGTTAATACTTGACGGAAATCTAAAATAAATCATTTTACATTTTAATCCACTTGAAATTCTCATTATAGATAATTTTGAATGGGATTTATTATGTAGATCATATCTCTGTATCGTAATTGCACATTTTAAAAAGATTATAAAATCAGAAGAAGATTATCTTATACTTGTGCGACAAGAGCTTTCTTTTATCTCACGTTAAATATCTTATTATTTATCAATATATCTTATCATTCAAATAAATGCTTTCATTTATATCGATATTATATTATATTTATATATTTGTCATTATTTATTTATATTTATATTATAATAATTTTTATCTAGTATTTTTATTTGTTTAATATTTTATCTAATAATTTTATTATTTTGATTTTTGATTGTAAACAATTTTTTAATGGCAAAAATGCTCTTTATTTTACATCGTAGATGACAAAGAGTTTTGCAAGTTTTAAAAGTATTTGATTTTCCTCTTGCTAGTGATTAATCAGCTGTTATTTATAAAAGTGAGAAAATTCTTTTATTCTGAGTTTACAATCGCGTGTTCAGTCTTCCGCCATTACATATACATAATATACGTTTTTTCATTTCGATCTAACTTTCAGTACAATTTCTTCGAATGTTTATTACAACAACTGTGTTGCAACTTTGCAATATTGCGTATCGTGTAATTCTCGACGAAGGCGTAATCTACGATCTTATTTATATCGCCTTTGTTTTTCTTTCGAAATTTTTCGTGGCATATTAGTGAAATGTTTTATTTACTTTCTGTCGAAATTGATTACATTATATCCTAACATAGAACGGAAAAAAGATATATAAATATATACAAATAAGATATATACAAAAAAGATATACAAAAAAGATATACAAATATATATATATATATATATGGGTTTTATTTTTAAACAATAAAATTAATGTTCGCTTTATTTTATTCGAAAATTTAATTCTTTTTGAGAATTATGGTATTTTTTAAAGCAAGTTAATGTAATAAACTTGATTTATTAATGTAATAATGATAATCTATTTTAATAATAATTTTATTCACACAAAAAAATGCGACTTACAAGATTTTTGCATTTTTAAAATGCTCGTGTCATTACTATTATATATTTTTTCGACATATAATTTTTTACGTTGCGAACGTTTAACATTAATATAGAATATTTGTTGAATATCTCATTTGTGTAAAGTGCTTATCTTAATTTAATTTAATAAATTTAATAAATTATTTAATAAATTAAATTAAAATAAATTAAATTAAATTTATATTAATAATATACATAATAATAACCAGATTACATTTAAATAAGATATTGAACGAATATTTTACACAAATATTAAACATTTACGACGTAAAAACTTATATGTTAAAAAAATATGTAATGGTAATGACATGAGCATCTTAAAAGTGCAAAAATCTTGTAAGTCGCATTTTATGTTTATATAACAAGTTTTAATTATTATTGTCATAGATATCTTTCTCAATACAAACGGATATATAGCATTCTTGTTCCATAACTTGGAAGTTTTCAACGCGAAAAAGGCGAACTCATCTGTCGCGGAAATGGTTATTGACAGATAAAAACGTACTCTATGCGCGTTGTGCTATCTCATTAAAACTATTTTTAAAGCCACCTGTGTTTTTAATTGTCAGCAGTTTGAGGATTATCGATGTCTTGACAATACGGCCATTGTTCTCAATTTATCTATTTGCAAAAGAAACTTCTGAAATATTCTCTATATATATGTAACGCAAAATTATTCACAAAGGTAAAATAATAAAAATATACTTAATAAAAAATCGTACTTAATCGCAATTAATCATGAGAATTGCATAATATTATTACGCGCATATTCTATATGCATTATGTACATATACAGAGGAGAATTTATTCTTATTGTTAGAATTTATTGTTATTATTTATTTATTTTGAAAATCATAGTAATTGTGGGACAATATGATATTGAAAGAATTTTAAAAGTTATTCTGATTAATATTTACTACAATAAAAAATATGAATATATCTGTCACAAAAGATATAAAATACGTTAGATTAATTTTACTATGTATATAGTAAAATTTACTATGTACATACGATGAAAAAAATTGTTGACTAAATCTTTCAACTAAATATTATTTTATAAAATAAATATTATTTTGTTAATTAAACATATATATAAAAATATTTTAATTAAATATAATATATTAAATCTAATACACAAAACCTATATTTGACTTAAATACTAATACTTATATGTTTAATTAATAAAATAGTGATTTAGTTGAAAGGTTTAATCAAGTTATCAAATTTTTTTAATGTATTAATATTATTTATTGTGGTAAATATTAATCAGAAATTTGGAAATTTTTTATATCTTATTTTATTAATCAGAAACGCTCTTATAAAATTGATTCAATACCATATTGTCTCACGATTACTATGTTTATCAGGGTAAATTTAAAAAAAAATTCTTTTCGTGTATGTAAATACCACATAAATAGCATAAATATCGACATGTATGATATTTGTTGTCGATTTATTGCTACTGCAGATGCATCTTCACGAAAGTTGTATTCTTTTTATGTAACATATTGTTATTCCTTTGTCGTAGTTGCACATCCTCTGTCGTCACACGTTGTTTGTGGTTGTAAACGTCTTACTTAAAAGTGCAGGTGTTTTGAGTGCGTTTTTATTCCGCGCAGTTAACATCTAACAATCTAACTTCGTTTTATTTTTTTAAAATTGTATTAGATATATTTTTCTATATTGTTGATTAATGTATTGTATTTTTCTTAATTTACTTTTATTAATATTTCTTTAATGTGTTAACACGACATTGAGTATTATTTTATTTATTATTTCTGATAAAATCGCGATTGACTAAGCATTGGAAACGATTCTATTATTTTTATGGATGTGCATTATTTGAAATAGATGGATTTAAAATGGAAATATAAAATAAATATGCCTATTTTATATTTTAAATTTAAAATACATGCTTTAAAACTATTTTATATTTACGTTAAATTAAATTTAATGGTTTTTATTCTCCAGTTTTTATTTTAAATATATTTTTCTTACAAACTAAAAATTTATTGAGATATCAATAATATGTACGTATAACAATCAAAATGTTATTAAAGAAGCCATTAAGTAAATGTCTATAAAGAATAATCAACATTTTTTATAATTTTACATGTAAATACACACACACACACACACACACACACACACACACACACACACACACACACACACATATATATAAATGTATAATTTTTGTTTTTTGTCTATATTAAAAATATCTACATATATATAAAGTTTATAAAAATTCAATACAGAATTAGAATGTAAATATTTAAAAAAATCATTATTTTTAAAAACAATTTAAAAATGCCTATTTTTTATTTTCTATTCTAAATGGGTGTTGAAGATACAGTTTGCATTTTTTATATTTTCAAATGGGGAACTATTTTGCATTTCTATTTTAAATGGGTTTGGACATTCATTTTATACATTCCTGATTATTTTAGTATAGCATTTATTTTAATCCTGTTATTTTAGTATATAACATTTTTACATGCTTATTTTAAAATCTCATTTATTACTCCTTTTAATATTTTGGAATCGAAAAATCAGAATTAATACTAATAGTAATCTATATGCATGGCTTTTCAATGCAAAAATAAGCTCACCTAGCAAAATATAATCTTTTTTGATTGATGTAGATTGTTTTTATTACTGAAAAAAGATATAAAAAACTAATAAGTAACTAAATATAAATCTCAGATACACAGAAGAACTTTTCTTATATATTTAGATTAAATTCCTTTTTTTTCTAGATTTTTTTTCTAGACGTTTCAAACTTAATACTTCTTCATGTACGCTTGTTTAATCATACTACGCTTGTTTAATCATGCCACGCTTGTCTTTATATTTTTGCATTTGAGCGCAGAAATGCAGGTGTTGAGCGTTAAGAATGCATCACACTTTCTCTCATCTCATCTGGATCTGTCAAGGACACCAAATGTTGTTTTGCGTTCTGGTGTCTTTCGATCTATTTCACATCTCCCTTATTATAGACATGCCACCAGCTGGAATAAAATAGGGAGCAATTAATGAAGATAGACTGCTCTCTCGTTGACGATGATTCCCTGTTGATTTCGCTCTTCCGCGTCGCGCTTGTTGCATCCGCCTGCATATCGATGTAACATAATATAATGCAGTATAATATTATAATGTAAGCGATTGCTTGGATTATTGAGATTATGTTTGATTATTCGTTTGCGCATACAAACGCGATATTGATTGATTGAATTCATAAAATTTTTATTCACACATTAGCTGTCGTCTGATGAGAATAGAATGAAGTCATAAAAAATATACGTGGAAAATCGAGAAAAGATCTCTTAACCGCGTACTTCAACACTGAACTTTGTACCCTACGTATTTCACAAGATATATGTTCGCCACTTTTTAGTGTCTACACTTGTACTTCTACTTGTTTACAACAAAAGCTATTTTTAACAATTAACAGTTGAAACAGCTTTACATTATTAAAGTCTGCGTAAATTATATTTATCTACAACGTAAATATAATTTTATGCAGATTTTCTGCAATTTATTATTAATTTCTTTTTTATTAAAATTCCAGTCTCGCTATAATATTGTGCAGACTATAGTTTGTGTAGCTTATTTCAATTTTTTTCTCAAATGAACATATCTCTCTTTTCCTTCCTCTCTCTTTTCCCCGTTTCTTCCAACCAAGTATTGATAAGATCCTAATTTACCACATTATTATCACCATTCTACGTAATTAAAATATATCGCAAAACCGTCCTTCAGCAAGATAATCCTATTTTACAATTTAACTAAGACTGTGATAAGGTTCTGAGTTACACAACACTGACAATTCAAATGTTCGCGTCGATGTGGCTCATATAATTACGATCTGTTTGATTCTTTCGGCAGATTATCAGAGAGGACTGGCATCATCCACGACGGTTTCGGCAATTACACAGCGGACGTGAGGTGTTCCTGGTTGATCGAGAGCAGTCCGAACACCAAGATACGGATGCACGTGGAGCAATTCGCAACGGAATGCGCCTGGGATCATCTATACATCTACGACGGTGACAGTGTCGAGGCACCTCTATTAGCCGTCTTCTCCGGCCTGATGCACAAAGACGGCTATCACGTACGCCGCGTGCCGGAAGTAATAGCGCGATCCGGCAGCGTGTTGCTGCACTTCTATTCCGACGTCGCGTACAATATGAGCGGCTTTAATATTACGTATAAAGTCAACGCTTGTCCGAGCAGGTGAGTCCGAGCATCGCCGGCTGCGGTCTACTTAATTAAGGACGATCAGGTCCGCGTTGCCTCTCCTTCATTTTCTCGATACCGCTTATTTCTCTCTTTGGCGGAAACAAGTTACGGATATATATATATTTTTTTTATCTACATTTCTTTCATTATTGGAGATACGCTGAGATCAAATCGGACACATTTTACAAATGGTTTCTATTAAATTAAATCAGTGGTTTCGAACAGCCTTTCGTTCTGGATGATGGTACAAATAACCACAGCAAGTTACGCGCGGTTGATCGCTTTATTCGCAAAATGGTTTTTGCGAGATGGAAAAAAAGTGGAGCGGGACGTTTTATCTCTATATTTACGGTGCAAGTTGATAGATCGTAATATCGGCCGACCTTAAAACGCGAACGGTCATTACATGGTGGCTTTTAGCGAGTAAAGACATAATTTAACACGTGCTGGGTGACTCACATTATCCGCGTATAACGTTTTAATGCGATATTTGACCAGAACCAGAATTATATGTACATAATTTGTGGCGGGAGAGAAAGAGAGATAGATGTATCTACCTAAAAAAATATCTTGTAGAATCTGCTATGTTCGATAAAAATAACGTTAAATCCAAAAGAGATGTGTAATAAAGAGATAGAGAGAAACTGCCGAGATTACACAGGATGACAACTACCGATAATTCGTAATTGGGTCGCCCCCGACTTAGAAACTTTATCGAGCTTCCTCTGAGAGCAGGAAATACGCGTAACCGTATCTGTGTCACGTTTGATAACGTTACCTGTGATCAGAAGACGATCAGTGGACAGGTCCCTGACAAAAACCAGTCTATCGAGTCTATTGAGAGGAGCAACAACAATTTTCGAGATTATATAGTTAGCACTTTGTCAAACATTAGGTTTCATGACATCTGAGAAACTAGTACAAATTTCTTTTTACCTCGAAATTTCTCTCTCTTTTTCACTATTTTTAACTTGTAAAAATGAATGATAATCGTTAAAAATTATTTAACTCCAGTTTCATTATTCAAGATTTCACACGTAACGGTGCATGCTTTACAGAACTGTTTGCATTTCTAATCGTGTAATCTCGAAATATTGAATCTAATCAGAACGCGTGATTGTCACCAACACAAATCGTTTTTCAATAGAGAAATATTGATACAGGTAAACACTTAATGTTTGATTGAGTAAATAGTAGTAGAGGAGAGTACAGGAGTACATTTACTTACCGATATCGTTAGAGATCGTTAACGGTGACATTTCGAAACTAAGATTGATTCAATGATACTTTATGTACATACACATGTCTCATCGTTTCCAGATATTCCTACATTGACTGTTCCGGCCATGGAGTGTGCATCGAAGGCACGTGTACCTGCGATGCCATGTGGACCGGTGAAGCCTGCGATGCGCAGGTATGCCCAAACAATTGCTCCTTCCTTCATGGACAGGGCGAGTGTGATCGCGAGCGTCATCAGTGCAACTGCTTTAACGGCTACAAAGGTAAGAAAATAAATAAATGAGAAAAAAATCACTCGACTCGATCGTGTGATTTAGTTGACGACGAAGTCGAGATCTCTCTGTAAATAATAAAATAATTGTAATCCATACTCTCTAAATTTCTTGGAGTGGAATCTCACTCCAAAAGAGTGGAATCTCATTCTTTTGGAGTGAAATTCCACTCTTTTAGGAATGAGATTCTATAATACCGTTTTGGTTGTGTGAGATTCCACTCCAAGAAATTCAGAGTATATAACGCGATTATCTAAAGATAAGATTTATTGTGATATTTTTACTCTTCATAACTAGTACGAAAAATGAATACAAGATCTAAACAAATTCATAAAAATTCCCAATTATTTTACACACAAATCCAATTTAGTAATATCATCTCAAATAATTTCGTGCAATATTAATAATATCATGATTGAAACGAAGATTATGATATTCGATATTCAAGTTTAATATACCGCATATCTATATTTATAATCATCACATAATGATAACATATTAATAAATGCGATATATATTCGTTCAATATATATCAAAATAGTAAAATATATTTAGGCGATCTAGAATAAATCTGGAAAAATTCACTATATAATTTTTCACAAACTGTTTCCGTTTGAGAACTCGAAACGGAATAAAATAAATCTCTATTTACATACATCCGTGATTTCCGGGATTTAGGCGCAGACTGCAGCCAAAAGGGCGATCGTGGATTTTGGGAAAGTATCACGTACAAGGATTTGCCGCCGGATGGGTCGGCCAGTCACTGTTCTATCGTCTGGAAAGATTCTCTGTACGTGGTTGGCGGCGAGAGTTTCAACCGTGCCAAGATGATATACGTATATGATTATAACGGCAACGTCTGGGAGACGCCTCACATCGAGGGTCGCGCGCCGTTGCCACGATACGCGCACTCGTGCGTGCTCTTCGGCGACAAGATATTCATGTATGGTGGTGCCTTGCAAAACTCCACCATGACCAACGAGATCTGGGCGTTCGACGTGTCCGCCAAGGTCTGGGAGAACGTCACCGTGTACAATAGCTGTCACAACAGAACGATGTGTGGCCCGCTGAAGGTTCGTTTAATTTCTCCGAAAAAAATATCTATTTTTAAGCAATAAATATTCTTTTTGTATTTATATAAAATGATAAGTACTATTTATCTTGCAATTTTAAATCGTTAATTGTTGAAAAGGGCCCCATACCAAATACATTTTGGCTTTCGGTGGAATTGATTATCTTTTTCATATGTTGTAGCTTATATCCTGCTGAACAAAAGATGTAAAAGCCTCAAAGCTAAATATTAGATAGTTACTGAATTATAGCCACTAAAATAATTCGCAAATTATAAGCTACAACATACGAGAAAACTTGCTGATCTTATCAAGATTTAATTTTATATAATTAGGACGGGATTTTTGAGCCTATATAAAATTCTAGATGAAATTGAATCCTGGTAAAATCAGCTGATTTTCTCACATGTAACTTATGATTTGCTGAACAAAAATATAATAGGCTCAAAGCTAAATAATAGATAGTTATTGATTTCTATCGATAACTATCGATATTTTAGTTTTGAGGCTATTACATATTTTATTCAGAGAATAAGTTACAACATAGAAAAACCAATTTCGAAAACCAAAATACTATGTATTTAGTGCGGGATCCTTTGATGAAGTTCTTCAATTTTTAATTTTTATAGCGATAATATTGATCGATGTTGACTCCTATTCTTTAACTTTTAATTAGGTCTTATAGTATAGTATTTTATAATTCAGTATAATATCGATAACACCTTTATGTCTGTCTTTTTACAGGTAGCTGGGCATACCGCGACTTTAGTGCAAAGTCATGACAAGAAGGAGAAAATGGTTGTGATATTCGGCTTTTCGCCGGACTATGGTTACTTAAACACCGTCCAGGAATATTCTTTGGGTACGCGCGAGTGGAACATTGTCAAAACGATCGGTTTTCCGGTGAAGGGCAGTTACGGCCACAGTTCCGCCTACGATCCTCTCACGAATCTCATCTATGTATACGGCGGTTATGTGTCAGAGCCGTTGAATTTGCACGTGTTAACCAACCGAATGTATTCATATCATCCCAATAATCACGAATGGCGTCTGCTCACAGCGGCACCGTCGGCGCGTTTCTTTCACACGGCTACTTTTGTTTCCGACGGACTGATGTTGGTGTTTGGTGGTAATATGCACAACGATACGCAACAGTCTCACGGTGCGCAATGTTATTCAGCCGACACGCTCGGCTACGACGTCCTATGCGACACCTGGCATCAGTATATCATGCCTAGAGATATGGGCGATCTTCCGCGATACGGTCACAGCGCGACAGTCTTCGAGAAGTCGATGTACGTCTACGGTGGTTTTAATGGTGAAATGCTCTCTGACATGTTGAGGTAATTTTGTCTTGTCAGCATCTTGTTCTAAGGCAAAAAATGTTATATATATATAAATATATAACATGTTCAAATTCATTTATTTGTACAGGTATACCTCAGGCAAATGTGACCAATTGACAAATCAGAACCAGTGCCTGAACGCTAGAATAGGTGCGAAATGCGTGTGGCACAAACAAGACGGTCGATGCCTTTCTATCACGAGGCATACGCTTAAGAAATATCAAGACGATGACACTTATATGAAATGCTTAGACAACGCGCCGCCACGTGGAATGACGTCGCATGAAGAGCTTTGTAAGCTTTTCGGCGACTGCTCTTCCTGTGTGCAAACTTCATATAATTGCGTTTGGTGCAACAAGGGTTGCCAGCACGAAAAATGTCGGGATCATCAACCTAGTACGACTACTACGAGGCCTCCTGTTGTTATGGATCTAAAGCAGTGCGAGTCGAGTGGTATCGAGTGCGCGCTACTGTACACATGCCACGCTTGCGAAGCTAATCCACGTTGTCAATGGTCTTGGGTCACCGCTGAGCGTTGCATGCTTAGGCAGAGCACTCAGGTGCAATACGTATTTTAATATTTTGCTGGCTCTATAGAATATGTAAACGAATATTCGAATACAATTAGTTTTCTAAATATTTCAGAAACAGCGAATGCATATAATTTTGAAACTATATTTTAATAAAAATGAAATGATCTATTGATCTAATCTTGTCGTGTAACAATTTTAATTTTAAAAAATTAACAAACCAATATAATGGTTATTTTATTAATTTCTAAAGCAGACAGTGGACAACAGCACAATCCTTCTACCAAAATATCCGGAAATGTGCCGATATAATCCATGTATAGAGTATACAACGTGTCGCAACTGCACGGAAGGCGATTGCATCTGGTGTCAAAATGAGGACAGGTGCGTGGACAAGAATGCATACTCGGTCAGTTTTCCCTATGGACAGTGCCGTGAGTGGACTACGACGGATACCAGGTGTCGTCCAACAGAGATTGGCAAGGACTGGTGCAGCTTTTATTTGTCGTGCGCCACTTGCCGTTCAGACCCTGCATGTGGTTGGTGCGATGATGGATCGGGCACCGGGAAAGGTATGTGCCTGCCCGGCGGAGCTCGTGGTCCCAGCAGTACCAAGACCTTAGAGACGTGTCCGTTCGAACATTGGTACTTCACAGCATGTCCAAGTAAGCGAGTTTGTTTTATTGATCGTGCCATGCTTTATTTATTTGTAATCAAGCATTGTTTAACTATAATTCATATGTTTTTTATCTTCGCAGCCTGTCAGTGCAACGGACATAGTAAGTGTCTTCCAAACAGCAGCGTCTGCATTCAGCCGTGTGGAAACTTAACTTATGGACCACACTGTGATAGATGTATATCTGGGTACTACGGAAGTCCACTTAACGGAGCAATGTGTCAACGTATGTAATTTTTTTTTTATATGCCACGGTATCTCTTGTAATTGTCACGATCGAGTGAGAAAGAGAGAGTGAGAAAGAAAGAGAGAGAATCAATTGAATGTAACACTTGTTGTGCGTGATTATTACAGCTTGCTCCTGCAACAATCAAGGCACGCAATGCACAAGCGAAACGGGCAAATGTTTTTGCACGACCAAAGGCATTATTGGCGATCACTGCGAACGTTGTGACGTGTCCGGTCTTTATAATGGAGATCCTACGAATAAAGGATCTTGTTTTTGTGAGTCGATCAAATATGCTTTTTATCCTATATTCCATTAATATATTCCACCTTCTATACATGTAACCCATCTTACGTATCTCATTTTATGTATATTTATGTTTCAGATGACTTAGCTATCGATTATCAGTTTACATTTAATTTAAGCAAAAAAGAGGATCGTCATTATCGGGCCATTAATTTCAAAAACTCACCACCAAAAGCCGATATCGATGCTGAATTCTCTATCACGTGTTCCGTACTTGCTAAAATGAATATCACCATCAAAAAAGTAAACAGTCCGGAAAAGCCGCTGTTGCTCGGCGCGAATTGCACGACGACCATGTACAAGCAACGCTTTAGCAAGGCGGATTACAATTTTGGCAGCGAAGATAATAATACTTTTACCACATTCTATGTATATGTTTATGACTTTCAACCACCGGTATGGATTCAAATCTCATTCTCTCAATACTCCAAATTGAATCTACAACAGTTTTTCATTACATTCTGCACGTAAGTATCATAAGTTGGATTTTGAAATGATTTTTAGTTTGAAAATAAAAAATAAATTATAATTATAATATTAAAAATAAAGCTTTGAAAATATGAACTACTAAATAAATATTAAAATGAGAAGACAAATAATAGACTAAAACATGTGCTAATCAGACTCGTATTAAATAAAAATTATTCACAATGTAAAAGCTTGTAATATGGAAATATGAAAATTTAACAAGTTTTCATATATATTTAAGAAAATCAGTATAAAGGTTTAACTGTAAGCTATTGTTAACATAGATTGAACATTAATTATTTCCGAGCATTGCAAATATTTGGAAGAACAAGGACAATCTGTTTCACAGCACATTCGCTAATATGACAATTATTGCGTTAAGATGTAAATTTTGAATATTATTATATGTATTTGTTACGATGTACGATTGAGAAGTCACAAGTAAGTGACGAAACGTCTTGTATGATTTATTGTAATTTTTATTATATATACACTATATAATACACTAATTTTTCATTGTCATCCATAATTGCTCGTTTAAAAGCCTTTACATTGCAAATAATAGACATTTCCAAACCAATAGAAAGATCGAAACGTCTATTATTTGTCGTTGAATTAGGAATAATAAATAATTGTTTACGGTACTTCATATTCGGTTTAGCTCTTATTTTTCTTCTCATTTTAATATGAATTAAAAATTAAAATTATGTTAAATCTTTAAGCGCAATCTCTTTATGCGAAGAGATCTTGAGAGACGACACATCTATTGGCCTAACGCTTTATTTTTTCTAAATTTTCTATATTCTTTCTGTCATGTTGAGCCTCAGGCAGTACTTACTTGTAAACTAGAGATTACATGCCACCACACAGGTGTTTTCTCGCTCTGCTATTGGTAGCCGCCATTCTGTGGAAGATCAAACAGAAATATGACCTGTATCGACGAAGACAACGGCTCTTCTTAGAGATGGAACAGATGGCCAGCAGAGCTTTCAGTCAAGTTATAGTGGAGATTGAGAGACGTGATATTGACAGCACAGATCTGGAACACGGTGATACCGATTTTAATTGCCGTAAAAAAAAGAAGGTAAATGCGATACCTTTTTTTCACATTCGTAACAAAATAGGACGTAATTTTTGCTTTATTTAAGGTGTATACTTTCGGGAAAAACTTTGAAAATCTGGTTCTTCTCAAGGAATTTTTTACCTTGAAAAACCAGGGAATTCTCATTCTCAGGGATTTTTTAAAATTGATCTTTTGATCATTTTACTCTTATATTTAGCATTTAAGAAACATACGTGTAACATATCTTTACAATATTTAAGTTTTTATTAAAATTTGATTGACGATCTATTTCAGTATCAAGATCTTATGTAAGTTTTACAGAAAGTTCTTCAATTTTTCATAAGTTATATTTAAATTAGTATTCCTTATTTATTTAATAAGTAATTAAGAAATAATAATTTAATAAACAGATAAATAATAATTTAATAAATTAATTAATTTCAATAAATTAATATTTCTTAAGATGTTTATAATAAATTATTTTTTGTTTTACATTTTTATTTTATATTTTTGTACATATTTTTAGCATTTAAATATAGTGATATATTGTACTTTGTTATTATTCTAAATTAATTTTACAATTAATAAATCAATATTAAATACTAGAAAACCTGCTAATCGTATAAATAGAAAATATTAAAAAACGTATACAATAAAGGAACTTTTAAAAAGTTGCATCTACAATACAAATTTTTTTATTTTATCTGAAATTTTAAACAAAAATATCGGGAAGATTAGGGAATTCTCAGGAATTTTTACAAAATTTGAGTAGACACCTTGTTGATGAAATTTGTATTGCTACAGGATGTCCCTCCTAGTCCGATCGCATTGGAGCCCTGTTGTGGCAACAGAGCGGCAGTCCTGTCTCTGCTAGTCAGATTGCCAACTGGCGGCGAACCTTACACGCCAACGGGACAAAGCGCCGGTTTAGCCGTTGCGTCTGCTTTGGTGACATTAGGCAGCCAGCGTAGACCATCTCAGGAATTAACGACGAAAGAGCCGAAGAAGACGAGGAAGTCGGCCAGTCAACATCCGGACTCCACTTGTATTTAATGATAAAACGAGCAAATTGGGAAGGACGTGATTATAATGAGCCTTAGAGTTGTTTCTGTGATCTTGCCCGTGCTTAATACGGCAGGACTTTTATCTAACTCTGACAGAGTGAAAAGTGTGGTGATGATTCAATGATCGCAATGAGATTGAAAACATACGGAGAATTTTATTCGTTGATTTTACACGTGCACTGATTGGTGAACCAAACGATTCAGCTGTTTTATTCGAAGAGTTGGCTGAACGTTTAACATTAGATATAGATATACGCGCGTTTTTCCTTATCGAGTAGAAGGAGACGTCTTTGATAGAGGAATGAATGAACTACTCCGAACATTTACGTCCGCTAATCACGGTGAGTAACACGTTTAGAATTGAGGTGCATATTCAAGTATCTTCGTTCGCCAAGAAGAGACGCCCGCATTGATTATTCGGCTAACATTCGAATTTTCTTTATAAATCTCAATTAATGATGTACAGTATTGTATATATAGATTATTAGATGATTACACATTTTTCTTGAATGATATGTTTGCTCGTGTGTGGATAAAATGGCCTCGTGCATATTTGAAAAACTTTTATCTGCTGCTTCTTTTATACGAATTCCTTCAATCATAATCCAAATGAAACGCATGTGCAGATTTAATCCTTCTAAGTCTAGAAAGTTTTTAAAAATATCTTTGACCAATATTATTTTTTACAAATCAATAAATTCAACAATAAAAAGCTTAAGTCTGAAAGAATAACACATTTATCATAAATTCTTGTTTTGTATATCTCAATTTTTACATTGCAGTAGATAAAAGTTTATAAATGCCATAAAAGTTATTAATAGAATCCATTAATGTTACTGAAATGATTGAATTCGAAGAAGTACAACGCTTCGACATAAGCTGTAAATAGGCTGTATTTTTGTCGATTTCGCAAACGAAAATGCAGATTAATAATGACGATCCAAACACATACGAGGTGAATGGATGTCAAAGAATTCATTATTAATGCATCTATTTGTAACGAATGTGTATAAGATTCATATTCTAAATCGATCAAGGTGAACAGAGATAATTGCAATTAAGGCAGATTTATATAAGGTACAAACCACATATTTGATCCTATATGCAATTCGCATATTAGAATATTGTGCCAAATCAGCATTTCTTTTTTATTATTATAACTGCAAATTATTTGTCGAGGCAAGCTTTAATTAACTATTGATCGGAAAGAATGAATATTTTTACTTATTTCGTTTTACTGTTCATCATTACTACTAAACATGATCACCAATTTGCAAAATTAAGATACCAAGTAAAATTAAAGATAATTTAATTAGAAGTTTTAAACATTTCGATTATATTTAAAATATTAATCTAATGGAAAAAACGTATAGTTATAAATATTTTGTTCGAGGATTCGCTTCTAATTCATGAGGCAAATAGCTGGTGCTGGTTGTTTCGCACATTGATTGCGTGACTGTCTTTCTGAGCATTTAATTAATACGTTTAAAATAATCTCACGTTTTTACATTTTTTAACAATTTGCAGACTACTGCTTGTGTTACGTTATTTTTATTCTTTTGTACATTTATTCATAATTGTATATATAGGAATGAGTAATTATATGAATAAATATCGCGTACTTCCATTTCTTACATTTAAATTTGTGCTTTTCTTAATGAGGACATAATGATTATTATCATACAATATTTAAAGAAAATACCAGTCATTATCCATAAAATTATAGAAGCCGGCACAGTCTTTTTTTTCTCGAAATTTTTGTGGTAACGTGAAAAAAGGGAGTTCTTGCCGTAAGACTTATAAATATATACATATGCGATATTTCTCTTATAAATACGTTAACCTGTGTTACGATAGTTAAGCTTCTTTTATTGTGGACGTGATGTACGTATTTATATCTACATTAATGCAACGGGCGGATGAGTAATAAATGGTTGTGATGTTATTACTCAAATTGGCATAATGTAATGCATTTTGTTTTGACATTTAATACTCATATAATTTCCTGGTCTTTATTGTTTAAAATATTAATTTATGTAAAGGCGTATGGTGGTCAAAGAGACACACACACACACACACACACATATATATATATATATATATATATATATATATATATTATAAATTAGAATCCCTCCCTTTTTAAGCGATAATGCGCATTCTATCTCAAATATATTTTTCGTACCAAAGAAAGCTCTATAGATGTGAATAAATCGTTATTGCGCACGTAGAAGACTAGATAGCACTCGACATAATCAATTATTATATAACAATTAGAAATAAAATTGTAATTACTGGCCACGTCTAAAAAAATTGTTTTTCGTCAACGGTAATATATATATATATATATATATATATATATATATATATAATTATTATTATTATTATATATATATATATATATATAATTATTAAAAAATATATATAATTATTATTTGTTGCCGAATTTACTTTTTGATACGACCAGCTTTTGTACTCGAATAGCAGAAGAGTAGTCTTATTTAAGAGACTCGTAACTCTTCTCTTATGAGCGCCAAATATTAAACATATTTTATTGAAGTATATTTTATTATATATATATATATATATATATATATATATATATATTATATTATATTATATTGCGAACACATATGTTTTTTACGTATAATTTGTATAAATGAGTAAACGCTTTTAATCCTTTCATTATGACAAATGCATATGTATATACAATCATCAGTTTTTATAATCAATAATTTTTGGTAGCCTGATAAATTTAGTTAAAATTTGAAGAAAATCTTTATACACCTGCATGTTAGTGTAATATCAGAAATCTTGACAATGGAAGGATTAAGATCGAAAAAAATTTCAAGATATTATTTGTTTAGAATAAATGTTTGCATCGGAAAAAAATATATTGTCATTAGAAATATCATTTAAATGCGATATTTTTATCGTTGTACATTCTTGTAATAAATTCGGTTGGATGCAATAATGTGTACCCAGTATACACTAAATGTATCTAACCGAATTCGTTATTAATATTGATTTTAAACTATAAGGACGATGTTCCACCGGCGCTCATAGTTTTTTTCGTCCCGTTCTTAGGCTACACTTGAGAGTTTTACTGTTCGGAAAATCATTCTTAGAGAATTAAATTCTCCAATAAACACTTTGTAATTGAGATTTATTCTCGATTCAACGTTAATGTCAGTATCTATTACAGAGTAAAGCTCTCAAACGAACATAGCTAACGCCACGCTTTCGATTCTATACCAGCTAGGAATTATCACTGTCGACAGTCGCTCTCGGAGGATAAAACTCTCAAGCGTATACTTTTAGTTTGGATCTTATGTTCGTCGCGTTTGTCGTATACTGTAACACTGCCAATGTAATATTCCTCCACTTTGTTTATCTTTTACAATTTGCTTCTATCTTCTATTCCCCGAGACGACGGTCGGGGCTGCCCCGCGCCGATCGATCTCTGCGACTGATAATACATGCGAATCATCGATATAATATGTATATTCCGTAATCTCTTATCTCTATCTTTCCAACGAAAATCGCGCACCATTGTTGTTCGCGATCGCGACGGGACCAGTATTATTCATTAAGAAAGAGAGTCTTTCTCTCTTTCTTAAAAGGCTTAAATAACTTTTAAAGTAGAATAATATAAAGGTCATTCGTATATTAATTTTTCTTTACTCATCTGATGCATTTAGAGAAATTGATGGAATTCATTGTTGTTTTTTGTTGAGAAAAAATATGTTTTAAAGATGACAAATTTTTTATTTAAATTTGGTATATAATAATTTATGTCTTATTATAGATATGTGTGCATGCATACATACATATATATTGTGTGTATATATATATATATATATATGTATATATATATATAAATGTAATATACATGTATATACATCATGTATAAAATCATGTATTGTATATACATACATATACAATATACATATAAAATAAATATATATACACATGTAAAGAATAAGATGTATTCTTTTTCTGTTAATTTTGTAGTTAATTGAAGGTATATACTAGATATAATAAATTTCAACATATTTCTTAATAGACCACATTTGGAGGCAATATAAAGAGAAGAGAAACACAATATAGAACCATTATAATTTAATTGAGAAAAAATATAAATGTATAGAATAATATTTTATGCGAAGACCAGAGATATTGTTAGACCCAGTTGCTGTTAAAATATAGAAAGGAATGAATGTCGCGAGAGGTCCCATCGCGATCCATCGAATTTCTCCGAATTTCTTCTTTCGGTTTCGAAAAAGAAAGGAAGTAGCCGGAGAGATCACCTTCCTCGGGAAGGACTCAACAAAGAACATTTATAGCCTTTCTAATAGGCAAGGTCTCTAGATCCCTTAATCATAAGAAATAGAATTGAAAGGCATGTGATGATGTAACATATTTCTATGAGTACTCGAGTCATACGATCTACTTTTACGATTCTTAAGCACCAGTATGCGAGACTCGGACAAAGAGCGATAGCACTCGATGCGACTATCGAATGGGAATGCAGTGTGTTTTGGGGTGTGATTGAAGTTTAAATTTACAAAATAAGAGAGAGAGAGAGAGACTATCTTCTCTCGATTTTTCGGTAGATCGAGATCGAAAACACAGATGGACTTATGATAAAAATACTTAATCTAATTAAATAAGTACATACGATTGTATATTATACATATAGCTTGCAACAATTTTTCTAGGAACACATCAACAATCGGAAATATTTATTTTTATTCGAGCGTAAGAGCGTAAGACAAACTATTTGATAAAAGCCTGTGAGATAAAGGAATAAATGAGATAGGACGATTTAAATCTCGAAACAAGTCTTACGAGCATTTTTGAGAAACAAATAGTGGAATACAAGAATGAGTGCGCATTTATGTAACGCATAGATATTATACAATGCAAAGTCTGAGATTATCCATTTGCTCGTGGTATTATTATCATAATTGTCACTGATATTGTCGTTAAAAAAGCGAGATGTTTCAAGTGTCAAAATGGTTTCGAATTACAATATTTTCAGAAATTTCTCTCGTGGCATATTTAAAGATTTCTCTTTCATTTCTATTCACAATATATGTAGATAACAGCGTTTTTCTCGCTATTCTCAGAAAAAAAATTAAAGTCATTATTATAAAGTATTAAACTTTCTTAAATTCCGTTTTGAATACTTGAATACTTTTTTCGCAATTTACTCGATAAAGTCGCTCGAGCTTAATAACGATTGTTTTCATCTTACATATAAGCTCATTATTTATATATAACGACATATGAAAGGAATTGTTTTATTCCAAAACAACATAGGGACAAAATCACATTAAATTCATTTGTTTTAAAAACATGTACGAGAAGTCGAAGATAATCTTTGGTTTTCTTTTTGATCGAGTAATCGTTATTTTTTAGTTGAATGATTATATTTTTATAGAGAAGAGAGCATCTCTTTCGCTCATATTGTATTTTTTGGTTTGAATTTACTTTTTATTATGACAAATGTTTAGAACGGGAGCAATTCTCGAGAACGGATTTCTTCGGCTAAGCTTTTAAAATGTTAGATTATTTTTAAATTTTAAATGGTGTGAGTTGTATCTTTTTTTTAGGGAATCTCGAAGAAAGATCAGTTTTCGTTTCTTTATTTTTGATTTTTAACATAGCGAGATATAGAGAATCGCCAAAGTGTTTTAATTGAGAGAGACGTATCGCGAATGTAAAGCCTGCTTAAGATTTATCACAGGAATAATTTGCATACAGCACTTATATGATCTGTTAAATTGTAAAGTTATTAATCAATAGATTGTAGAACTTCCGATTTTTTTGTTAATTGTCAGTCTTAGTGAATTAAACTTGATAATGCTAATTAAATCGAATAATCGTTAATACAATTGATTGAGATTCGTATGATTTATATTCGATAATGGTTTTATATTGCGCACATGTATTAGATTTAATTTGAATTAATATAAATATTGTACATTGTATAGATTAGATTAGATAGTGTTTCCATTAATGGAAAAATTATCTAATAATGGAATAATGATATAAATCGGATCAACAGACACACATGCTGAACTGGAAATTTATAACTAATATTATGTTTAAATTTCTTGGAATTTGTCACTTTTTGTCACTCTGTATTCTTTTCCGTGCTGGTTTCAATTGCACGAAAAAGGATGCAAAGTGACAAATTCCAAGAAATTTAAACGTAATATTTGCTATAAATTTGCAATTCGGCACGTGTGTCTGTTAATCCGATTTATATTCTATTAAAAATGTGCGAAAGCATCGAAACTGCTCTATTGTACATTGTATATAAAACATAATGTTTATAGTTTATTTATATATTTAAATTTAAATTATTAAATTAAAAGAAAAATTTATATCTAAGTTTTAAGATAAATTTTTAAGATAAATTTTTTAAAATATATATGTTGTAACAAAATTGTATGTTGCAACCAAAGTGTCTTGATTTTAAATATTCGGATAAATACATGTGTGCGTTATATTATCGATATTTGAAACAGAAATATGTATAAATAAATTTCTGTATTAAATTCTGTATGAAAATTAAGTCGAAAAATCGATTGCGAAAAGGAGGAAACACTGCAAATATAATTTTAAAAATCGTATGTGCATTGAACAAAAAGAGCACAAATAATCGCAGCTCTATATGCATATACTTAATCATTTGATCATATATTTAGCTCTATCTAGTCTAGTTTATAAAAAATAGACGTGACTGTCTACGGAATGGAATGTTGCAATATTGGCGAGTTTTTGTGAAATGTGACGTGGAATATATATTTTGAATATGACGATATGTAATTTTTTATTTTTTAAGAGCGATTCTCGATAGTAAAATCCTTTAATGGGTATAGAGAAATAAAAGAATTATTATCAATATAAATTCCAAAATTTTATCTAAGAGCGACTGTCGATGGTAAAATTCTTCAGGTACGAAATTACTTGTAACGGATATATATGTTTATTCGACGATTTTTATTTTTTCTTTACTGACTTTATAGTAAATTCTTTATTACATATATAGAATTATCTTCAGTGAATGTGCATTCAAAAGTTTTAATCTCATAGAACGCAATTTTGTATAATAAAGAAGATTTACAACTAGATTTCTTTATTTAGATAAAATCTATTTATTTGAGAATTTTATTTTTTTTCCACAAGACAGTAAATAAAAAATAAAATATTTTTATTCACCGAGAGATATTTTGTAAAAAACTCGAGTGCACAGTCTATAAATATAAGAAATTATCTCCTTTCGAATTGTAACAAGCCAACTGCATAATTTAATTTTGTTGTCATATAATTGTAAGAATAATTTTCCATAATTAGTAATCCACGAATAAAAAATAAAATTGACATTTTTTAAATTTTGCAGAATATTTGTAATTTGTAATTATGATTTTACTAATTTATTTTTACATTTTTACATGATGCGTATCATGTATTATTTTGTCAACACAGATTAAATTTAATTTATTGCGCTATCAATTTGCTCGCGAATAATTATGATATTTAAAAATTGATTGTGTAATATACAAAGAATAGTCATGCTGTTGAAAAGTTATGATAGTAAAAAATTAGAACTAACTCGAAGTGTCAAGAGCTTTGGCGAATATTTTTTTTCTAGAAAACTCATTTTAACTAAAGCATGGAGAGAAAAAATTTTAAAAATGATGTGTGAATAGAAAGAGAAAAAGAAAAATGTGTGTGCATGTGTGTATATGTGAGAGCATGAGTAAAAGATTTAAAATTATGCCCGTATTTTTGTGCTAGAAGTTAGAATGCGTAGAAAATTACTATGAATGTTGCCGCAAGAATGAGCAGAAGAGAATGGTACATATTGTATTATATTAAATGAAACACAGATATTGTTTAAATAAAATTGATATATATAAATTCGATTATGTATACTTTATTCATTTGTCATCATCTATATCGTCTCCGAATTTATAAATGTAATATTGTGATTATTTAATTTATCTGAATTTTATCAAATATGATATTAATATATGTCATTATTCTTCTATGTATACTTTATAAAATTTAATCAGTTTATGTTTTATAAAATCCAAACTTGACCTATTTGCTTTTACTAGTTTACTTACATAAATTTATTATATTTATTACAATGTAATATTCACATGCAGTAATAAAGCTTTGAAAATTACTTGTCTGCAAGACAAGTAATGCGTTAGAGTAAAGCGAAATTATTTTTTACATAATAACATATTTTTTCTTATTTCTATTAATAGAACATAATTAAGTTTAAAAAATTTGAAATAATATATTTATTCAACTCAATTAAACAATACTTATTTAAATTTGTCTATGAATTAATGTAAAATAATTGTAAATATTTATTTAAAAAAAAAGGAACGCGCGCGTAAATATAGATATTTGAAAGAACGCGCGTATAATAACGCGCATGCGCGCGTATAATAACGCGCATGCGCGCGTATAATAACACGCATGCGCGCCGCCATTATCGACGCAGCTGTCGAGCAGCGCCGCGCAGTGCCGCGTCTCTTCTCAGTCAGAGCGTATTGTCTCCGTAGTTTCCGCATTATTTAACGTTAAAGATCGCGTCGTGCGCGTAAATGATAATCAAAAGTGTCGGAAAAAGGGTTGGACGATAATCGGGAGATATAAATTATCGCGTGCGATCATTATTCGTCGTGTTTTTTCGATATTCCGTTTCGTACGATCGCAGCAACTTGAACTTGACGGTAGGGCCCTCTCGCGAGGAGTGAAGTAGCGCGCATGAGCGGCCGCCATTTTCATCACGATCTTCGCGCGCTCGCCGCATCGCTGTGTTGACTCGGAGTCCGTCGTCCTCGTAGTTTTCGTATTATTTAACGCTTAAAATCGTGTTGCGCGCGTAAACGTTAATCGGAAATGTCGGAAAAAGTATCGGGCGATTGTCGGAAGGTATCAGTTATCGTGTGATCGTCATTTGCCGTGTGCTTTTCCGATTCGTGCGATTCGAGGCGAGTAGCAAGCGTTTTCGACGTGACTTTGGCACGATGCTCTTTCGAAGCGCAGCGTATTGTCTTCACAGTTTTCGCATTATTTAACATTTAAGATCGCGTTGTGCGCGTAAACGATAATCGGAAGCGTCGAGAAAAGTATCGGGCGAGTGTCGGAAAGTGTCACGAACAGACATTTGTTTGCGCTTTTTGCATGATCGGAGCGACACCACTTGAACAACAATCGAGAGGGGGTGGCCGTGACGAGGTGCGATATAATTCGGTAAGTATACTCGTTTATTATTTTTATACGAGGGTTTGTTTATCTAGGATCTCTATTGCGTGTGTATAATGCAGTCTCTTACTATAATAACACTTATATATAATACTTGTTAAGATAATACTTCTCGTCTTTTCATGACTAAATTACATATAGCAAAGCTAAAAATAAATTTACAAAATTTTAATCTTCTTAAAAATTTTTTGAGACATAATAATATTATGTATAATTACGATAATAAATATTACTAGATTTTTAAATAGAATATAATGTAAATTAGGATTAATCAATATTTTGAATTGTATTTTGCTATTAATATAATTTATTAATTTTTTTATTACTTTTACGAATGTTTAGGATATATTTATTTATTTTTTATCATATGCGTTCTTACTGATAATATTTGATATTTCCTAATTTACTTAATATTTTTCGATTTCTCATGATCATTGTGTAATTTATAATATATTGGATTAAATCTTTTTCTAGAGAATTATTAAAAACTAAAAAATCTTTTTAATATATTATATTATCTATAATCTGAAGGATATGCATTAATTATCAAAATTTTCAATCATTATTTTATATATTATATTATAACAATACTATAAAATATTAATTAATATAACAAGCTAAAGAAGGTACAGAACTTCATTTTTCTCAAATTAAATTTTTTAAACATAATTATGATAATAAATATTACTAGATATATTTTAAACAAAATTTACATAATTGAGAGTTAATCACCCTTATGGAAATTTATCACTAGTAAGTCCATAGTTAATCACTTATTTCAAGTACTTAAATTACTGATATACAGTAATTTAAATACTAGAAATAAGTGATTAATTGGATTTACTAGTGATAAATTTCCATAAGGGCAGTTCTTTAATTCTATTTTAACTTCAGGAGAAATAAATGCACGTCCTTCTACATAATACTTGCGTTTCCGAGGCAACGCACGAGCATATTTCCGAGATCTTGTCTTGTAGTCTCAGGATGTATTGTTATCGGGATTAGCCGTAGAATGCTTCATCACTGACGGCTATTAAATTGGCCTCCTTTGCGAGTATAAGCTGCTTAAAGAGCGTGATTTGTCTCGAGACGCTTGTTTGTCGAGCAAATACATGACGTGTCAGTCGTCGAGTTATTGAAGATCCAAAACATAATCCTCCGTACTCGATAATTTCCGACGAATCCTTGCGCAATATCGCGTGTTACGCCACCCTTTCCGAAACGCCGAGCACGATTTTGTCTAATCGCTGGTATAAATATATCTTATCCTCCGACGATCTCTCGTGTTACGTTATCGATTAGATTACGGATAGGCATTATTAAAACCGCAGAAGCTCTAATAGAGGTAAGTCGAGCTCACTATCGAGGTAAAAGATGCTAGGATGTTAACGAGACATACAATAACAAATTTACGATAGATAAAGGTAGAGAAAATTAACTAGAGATTAATTGGGCGTTAGACGATAGCTCTCTTTGACTTTTAATTTTTTGATCATGATATATGTATAATATTTTTATAAGTATTTCTATAATTTGTTTTTTTTTTTCAATTAAATTTTAATCGCGAAAAATGCAAAGCGTTTGATTTACCCAATTTTTGAGATTTAATCCTTGTAGAAATTTATCACTAGTAACGCTAATTAATCACTTATTTTGAATACTTAAAATACTGATATATAGTAATTTAAGTACTCGAAATAAGTGATTAAGTACTCAAAATAAATGATAAATTAGCGTTACTATAGTGATAAATTTCTATAAGGGAATAGAATCCGATTCAAACTAATTTTTATAAGTTTTTATTTTATATACATAAAGTATAATTAACAAATTAATATTTATAAAATTTGATTCTATTTGAAACATATCTAAAAGAAAAATAAATATTACGATCTTCTCCAAATAAAAAAAATTAAACATAAAATTAATATTTATATATAGTTTATTATGCACCAAATATAAGTTTGGCGAGTCCACACACACACACAATAGTAATTTTTTGAAAGAATAATTAATTTGAACGCTGTTATAATTTAAATTTTATATTTATATGTTGCAGACAATGTAAAATTCGAGAGTGCTGTTAAAAGTATTGCGTGTACAAGTGCGGGAGTGCCGTTAAAAATATCGCGCGTTATCAATTGTTAATTAATAGACTTTGATAACCCTGACAACCTGAGAGGAGTAGGAGAGGCATTGGGTATCAGCGGAGCAACCCTAGGGTATCATTATTTTTATATTAATTATCATAAATTGCATACACACTATATTAATTAGGTTTATTTATTTGAGTAATTTAAACAAGAAAGATTTTGAGAGAGAAAGATTTTTATATAAGTTGTGTAAAATTTATTTCTATTTTTACTTATAAAATTTATTTTTAAAATTTATAAAATTTCACATATATGTTTATATATCTACTTGTTTTATATTCTAGTATAAAATTCAGCGCGTACAATAATAATTATTTCTTGAAATATTAATTATATTTTCGGCATTTTTATAATTTGGATTTTATATTTGTATGTTACATAGATAACGTAGCATCGATATCAACAACTTCGCTGTTGCGCAATGGTGTTGGTGAGTGACAAACTTTTATTTAATTTTGTAGTAGCGAATTTGTAGAAATTGTAGATGTAGATTGTAGATTATAAATTGTAAATAAATCTATTGCCTTACAATGGATGATTCAATTTATCGCGAACAAGTCTCGTAAAATTTATTGATTAGCAAATATTAATAGAAAAAATTTTGAATATTTTACATTTAATTTTTTGTATTTACAAATAAGGGTGCAATCTTATATTACGAATTAGAGATAATTTTACCTTTTTGCGAGTGCAATTATTCGCTTTTTTTTAACTTCGAGCTAGCATTATTGTTCACTTCTCTCAGAATAAAGATATCATTTAGTTTACGATAATTTATGATGGTCCAAGAAAATATAAAGATATAGAAGGAAATAAGAAGCTACGAAAAAAAATTTGCGTCTTTGCGTAATGGTTTGATTTCTAGATTTCGGGAGTGCTGTTAAAAGTATCGCGCGTATAAGTGCGGGAGTGCTGTTAAAAGTATTGCGCGTATAAGTGCGGGAGTGCCGTTAAAAGTATCGCGCGGATTAATCGACGAACTTTGACGACCCTGACCTGAGAGGAGGAGGAGGTCTCGGAAAGGCATCGGGCGCCGGTCGGAGAACCCTAAGGTGAGTCTATCGTTATTTACATATTAATTATTATAACTCATATTAATTATAAATTTTTAAGAAATTATTGTATAAATATTTATATAAATCCTACAAAAACTTCTATTCAAATAAAATTTATTTAATTTAAAAAATTATTTTAATATACAATATTTTTTATATATAATTTATTATTATTATGCACCAAATATAAAGTTCGGTGCATCCAATAATAATTTTTTGAAATAGCAATTAATTTGAACGCTGCTATAATTTAAATTGTATATTTGTATGTTACAGACGACGTAGCTTGAACATCACTACTCCGTTATTATGCATCAGTAAGTGACTAAATTTATAAATCATAGTTGTAGATTGTAGATTGTAGATAGATTCATTATTTTATATAAAATAGATGGACTAGAATAAATTAGATCAAACTTACTTAGATTGAACTTTTGATAGATGCCTTTAATACATAATTAAAGCATATTGCATATACAAGTATAAATTAAAGTATAAATAGAGAAAAATATAACAATTTTAATTCAGATTTCATTTATTTACTTATTTGATTAATTGTACATAGTAATTACTGCGTTATATGTAAAAATAACTTTTCTTTTAATAAACATTTATTCTAATTTTTTGTAGTCTATCCATGTATGTAGTGTGACATATGAAAATTCTTTACTTCAATTGATGTAAATTAATATATTCTACAACAAAAGTTAAAATACAGATCACTTATTTGATCAGCAAAATACAAATCACTCATTCGATTAGCTGGCTAAATAAAAAATAGTTTTCAGCATAAAATTGGTAAAGTTATTTAACTTTACACTATTTGCGCAGTCAACGATAAGTGAATAAACAAAATTTAATGAACATCACAAAATCACTACTTAATCATTAAATGTGACACAATTATCTAATTTGTCTTGCTCTTATCGTGAAAACTTGCAGGTAGAATTATTTTACAATCAAATATCAGATTTTTAATGACTAATGAGAGTCTGGTCTGTGTAAATAATTCAAGAAATTGATTACAGACAATTTCGTATAAATGTCTCGGAATATCCTTACAATGCATTTTTGATAAAAATTCTGTCTTTTTATACGAACTTCATCATACTTTATTTTATTGTTCATGTCTTACTTTATATCTCACGAAATATACCATTACGTGCTATCATTTCAATAACACCATAATCGAGGAAATTTAAATTTCTTAATTACATACAATATATACAATAATATATATATATATATACTTCTGTTATTAGTAATTATGCAAATTCTTTTTAAATGTAATTGAATTAATAATTGCACCGTTCTATTTTCTCTTCATTATTTCTAGCTCTTTTATATTATTACACAAGTCGTAATATTAGAACAATTTTACGTTGATTTTCATTCAAAATTACTGGTATTTTGAAAATTAAATTAAGTACGCAAAAAAATAGACAAAGAACCAAAAGATATAAGAAGTTCGAGATAAACTAGACAACTTTGTGCAATTGTCATTCCTATTAATTGCAATTAAAAATTAAAAAATTAATATTATATATTTTTTTAATTAAACTTGTATTGTTTTAAATTTAAATTGTTTATTTGACTCAATTATATCTTCTCAATTATATAGATTAACATTAGATTAATATTATTAAAATACATGATATATAATTGAATTGCGAAGCCGTTACATCAATCGTGGAAAACATTTATACTTTGTCAGTTAAGGGTTAATTGAACAGATCATAAAGTAGCCGGTACGAAGGGTACAGTGACATTTGACGACCTAGATTTTAATTGCCAAAGTTATTCGGTTGCGTTCACATTTAGCAGCGTATCTTCGCGACCGACGACAGTCGAATGGTATTGTTATATGATAATATCGGCCACTTTAATATCTGCCAAGCTCGTTCTTGAGAGCGATATTGCATGCTACGTGTTTACGTAATATGCTATCGTTTTCGTTGCAGTAAACAGACGAGTGCCACACGTAACACACGCGTAAACGTACGAAATCTATTTAGCAATAAGGACAGGACTTTTTGACGTGTATTTAAAAATGTTAATTAATGGAGCAACAATTCTGTTCACTTCTGTTAATTATTCTCGAATATAGGAACGTATACAAATTTTGCTAAGGTGTCGTTAAATATTCTATTAATTTTTATCTTTTACAAATATAATATCAGGACTTACTTATTGCTTTGGATGGCATTTTTCAAAATCAATAATTAAAAATAATAATATAAATATGATATTTACGTAAATAATAATATAAATATCATATACTTAAATAATAATATAAATATCATATACGTAAATAATAATATAAATATGATGTTTAACTTTATTTCTTAAATAAGCAAGGCGATATTTTTTAATACAAAATTTCGCGGAAAAAACTTTCAATTTGTACGTAAAAAAGTACTAGAATACCTTTTGATATAAATTCATTATTTGACATAAAAAGAAAAAAGCTTCTACAGTATGCATGTATATAGTGCAATCAACTCAATGAATATTTATTTATACACATTCTCAACTCAAAGTTTATATATCATTATGCAGTAATGACTGTTGAAAGACAATCAAAGATGCAATAGTGCATTAAATAATATGATGGGGAAAAATAGGACATTTTGTATGTATGTGATATATATAGAATAAACTAAATAAAGTTTCGAAAACAACTAGTAACATTTTATTTGGCTTACCTTATATATACATCAATTTAAATAATTGAAATAAAATTATTTAATCTTTTTTCCTTGAGATTCTGTGATGTTTTAAAGTTTTTACAGATTGTCTGAAAATTTTATTATTCTCGAAAAGTATATATTATAATTTAAATATAATTAATTTAATAGTTAATTTAAGCTATTATTTCAAAGAAATAAATGCTTTTTTTAAAGCCAATTTTTAATATTGTAAATGTCAATGAGATGCAAATTCAATTAGACTATTACAAAATATCAATTTTAGCGATTTTAATTTCAAAAGTGAAATTACTTTGAAACAAGATGACACATATGTTGTATTAATTAGCTATGTAGAAACTATAATTATGTTATTATGTACACACTTAAGAAATACAAGCTAAAAATAATATATGTTTTTAGTTACGTATAAGATGACATATAATAACGTACATATATATAGGCATATTTAAAAACAATAGATAAAAAATTGGCTTTCTCGAAATAAGTCGTTTTCTTTGCAATACAGCTTAAACTGGAAATATGTTTAAACTATAATATATTTTAGGGATAGATGAAATTTCTATACAATTTTACAAAATATTTAATGAGGAGAAAATATTTTCACATATACATATACTTAGATCTGCAGATCTTTCATGTTGAAGATTATAGAAACGCGAGAGATAAATTGAAAATTTTCGTTTAACATACACACTCTCAATAGATGGATAAATCAAATCTACGAGAATTTTACGTTCATACTCCTGTGAGAAAGAAGTGCTTTCGCTCAGCTGGCAAGAAAAATGAGAGCTGTCAATCCTTTATCAACATACTAGGGAGGGAAAATGAAAATTGCTGCATCAATATAGTTTTATTAATCAACGTGAATTAGCTATACTTTCATATGCAAAAAGAATTATATGAAATAATACTATATAAAGTTATCAAATGTCAAAAATCTTTTGCTCATTTGTCGTTTCAAAAATGCGAAAAAGAAAACGTGCATATTCTTTGTGAAAAGTTCTATAGTGTATTACACTATAATAATTATTACAGAATAGTATAAGAGTATGATTTTTGCAATAAAAAATTTTTAAACTGTACGTTGTTAAAATACAAGAATTCGATTCTCGGTCCACTTGTGCCACTTGTACTCAATATTTTTTTAATATTTATACGCCATTTTAAAAATTTTACCTGAAAATTTTATATTCTCTTTAAGAAAAAATTGTTATAGGAAAAGAAGTAACGGAAACTTTATACAGAGTTTTCACAGTTGCTGCGCGATTATATTAGATTTGTTTCATCGTAACTCATAAAGAATGAAGAATATAAACTTTATTTTTTACATACCATCAGAATTCTTTCACAATGAGAAGACAAAATTTCAACAACAGTTAAGTGAACGTAAACGTGAATATAATTTCGGCGAAAAGTATAGAAATAGATCGTGTTAATCAGAGCAGGTGGTCGTTACGTTTGGTCGCGGAATTTTCATTCGCGATATTTTCCTTGGCAAACGTAGAGAAACGAATGCGAGGGAAGAAATAAAAAGAGAGCAAATTGCACTCATTCGTCTCCTCACGTTAAGCTCGAATCGTATGTCAGAATTCGATACGATCGTAAGACCGCGCGATCACGCCTGTAAGACCGATGAAGAAAAAGTGAGGAAATCGACGAAATGAAAACGCACGTTTGTACAACTATCGAGCAAAGCGTCGTTTGCAACATTCGTAAAGTAATTTTGTGCAAAACCAGAGAAATGAGAGAAATAAAACAGAGAGAAATAGAAAGAAATATATAA